CCGCTGGTTTCTTTTGACAAGTGGCTCCTGAATTGTGCCCAGCCAGACTGCGGCAATGAATATCTGGGTGTATGAGGTAGAAAGGCTTGCACCCGGGCAGCTGACCTATTCTTGTATGCCTAGCATCCAGTGAGTCAGGTTTGACCAGTTCCAGACCATGTGTATTTGATTAGCTTTTAGGGTTGTTACCTGTGGTTCATGGACATTTGATCTGTTCTTTCTTAACTCTGTCAGGGTCTGAGGTGTATGACTCACCTGGAGACTGTTACTCTGGTGTTCATTTCAGACTAGGTTGTCCATCTTGAAGTCTACATGGTTGCACATATCCCAACTATGAAACCCCTTCTGACAATACCATCCATCCCAGATAGTTCTCAGTAATTCTGAGACCCATTAGAGTCATTCAGGAATTTAGGACACTGGAGAGAGGCAAGAAAATGAGAGCCCTTGCATTGCCTTTCTCTATCTCTTTTATTTCTAGTAATAATACATACAGACAATATATTTTTTCTGAGATACATTTTAATAAACTAATAGTTACTTTATAGAATTGAAGTTTTACTACATGTTAGTATGTTCAATATGGACCTGCAAAAATGCTGATTTTATTTCTCATAGCATATCCAAAAGCCCACATTCCACTAATAAAGAAATGTAGTAAGTTACCCGTGTATGCAGTGCAAGTAGCTTTGAGCACTATCCTCCCCCAACCCAAGTGGGAGAAAGATCACTGAAGCTATCATGCTCTTATAGGAAAAATGGGGCTTGCATATGTATTAAAGAAACTTGCAGTCATTGACTTATCCATTATTGCCTTTGAGTGAAGGTATTATAGTTAAAATTCATGAAAACAAAACAATCTACAAGCACTAAAGAATTAGGTGAATAAATGACTTTAAATCTGTAATCTCACCTTCAAGAACTAATTATACATACACAACGGTACAATCAGTTATACATGCTCTCCAAAGGTCGGCAGTATAGTGAATAATGTGATTTTACTCTCAAAAAATGCTTCTGATTAACCTTTCTATGTAGTAAAGAAAGGAAACAGAAGTTGAAGTCATAGAAACTGGCCTAAACCAATTTTCTCATACTTTAAACATAAGCAATTATTAGGCATTATAAAAAGAATTAACACATACACTGATAGATAACTGAAGTACAACGTGGTACCATTCTAAAATGTAAACTCTTAACATAAAATAATTTCCTTTGTACATGAAAACAGACTGCAGATATATTAACTCCATTCAATTACACTATAACTATGATAAATATATTTTGCTTCACCTATTGCTCAATAAAATATCAGTTTGTTGGATGCCTTATTAGGATGGGTAGTGTGCTAGTTGCTGGATTCTGAAATGATGAAGCTATGTCCCTATCCGTAAGAGCTTCTAGTTATATGAGGAAGACAGACATTTATAAAATATTTATACAATGGGATGCTCACTACCAGAAAACTGCACTCTGAGTTATTTTCAGCAACCTTGTTACATTTGAACCCAATAGCTTAATTTGTTGAGCTAGTTAGATATTATGGTTGGAAATGTTGTCAATGGTAATGAAATGAAAAAAGCTCCCTGGCCCATAAGCTATTTATGACTCTGTGTCATGAAAATATCATTCTCTATTCAATTAACACCACAAATGAATCTCCAGATTTAAATAGTTATCATCATAGGCTGGTCTCCATTAATTGCTAAGAAAATTGCCCTCTTATTAACTATTTCTTATTATATAACTGCTTTGGTTACTAGTTTTGGTTTACGTTTTAAAATCTTTTGTAGAGTATTTTTTAAAATTTGAAAACTACATAAAATAACAAAAGATTGACATTAAAGTTTGCTTTAGAATTCCTCATTCAGAAAATATGATTATGTGAGAAAGCAAGGCTCTAGCATTGGTGGGATTTACAAAAGCTAAAGAGATAGATGAGAGAATGAGAGGTCTTAATTTTTAAGTACACTAGGAATAGACAGTGAGGCACTATCCAAATGTGAAATAGATTCTGCAATGCTAGTCAGGCTCAATCCACCAAAAAAAAAAAAAAAAAAAAGAAAGAAAGAAAAAAGCAAGGGATAGATTCTCTGAGGCAACTGTATAAGGAACAGGTATGTAATCCAGCCTTTGTGGGAGATGAAAATGAGAGCCTGTTTTGGAAGGATGAGAGACATGGTACTGTTTCAAACACTTGAATGACTTGCAGACAGAGTCAGAAACCTCTGATCAACCGCTGGAAGTTTTATAGCAATTCAGAGTTATTTCCAATGTTTCTAATAGAAAAATTAAAAAATGAAGATAGTGATTCTTTACCTCTTTTTTTTTAAAGAGAGAGAGAGAGAGAATTTTAATATTTATTTTTAGTTTTTCAGCAGACACAACATCTTTGTTTGTATGTGGTGCTGAGGATCGAACCCTGGCCGCACGCATGCTGGGCGAGCATGCTACCGCTTGAGCCACTTCCCCAGCCCAATTTACCTCTTAAAGCACTGAGAAACTGAAAAAAAAAAAAATCACATGTCTAGGTTTTCAAATTTAGAGGGAATTTCTACTCCAGATTGGAAACTGTATTAAATTTCAAAGGTTATTTTCAAATTTGAAGTCTATGATTTAGAAGACTTATCTTTTGATAAATGTATAATAGTATCATTCTATGATTAAATTTCTTATTTTGTTATTAAATTTGACTAAGCATCAGTCATCAAATATAATTTATAAACATAATTTTTTAGAGTTCAAAATTAAATAATATCAATGGAAATCACTACCTTTCGTTGTATAAATACATTTCCATGAAAATAAGAACAAAGTTCAGAGAAACTGGCTTTTAGTTTTTATTCACTATAAGACAAACATGCATCTATGATAAGTATAAGGGAAAATCCCAGTCAACATCTCACTATAAATGTCAGCACCATTTACCGACTTTTCCTGAGTGATTAAAAGAAAAAAAAAAATCCCCTTTAACCAAAATGCTTCTCAAATTAAACAGTTTAAAGTCTCAGGTCCTATTGAAAAATCTTGAGTATGCACAACCATTGAAATCAGATATCTAAATTGCTAACTAAATTGGAGGAAGAAGCAATTAGTCCATATAAGGAAAATGATTGAAATCAAAATGTATAAATAGAATGCAAAAATCTTTGGTCATGCACTCCTGTGAAGGAAATCACTGAGCTAACAATTTGTCAAACACCAGAGTCCTTGATAAATAGTCACAATCTAAAGTAGGACTTCATAAAAAGGACTTCATGGAGTAAAGTTGTTTCTTAGACATAAATCTGGTTTCCTATAAATTTCAGCCCTTGTGTTTAGGAGTCCCTCCAGAGCTGCCCTCTAGAAAAACATTTTGGGATATTACACTTCAATTCTAAATATAGATAATTTTGAGAATACTAGATCCAATTAAAATCTCAAAGTAATATTATACATTTAACTATTTATTCATTACATCACAGTATTTTTTGCTTTCAAATATCAAAATATAAACAAATGCATTTCTCTGTGCAATTCTGATTTTCAAGTGATGTACCTTGAGCTAAGCACACTCAATACATACTCAGTTAGTTGTTCCTCTGAGAAAATGGAATCATATTGCAATATAAAGTCACTCTCAAATAATCTAACTTCCAACAGTAGCATGTAAGATCTCTTTCTTTTCCAGTATCAGAGTTGAATATTATGGAAATTCAGTTAATTTTGATTATGCAAATATTCTTCATATTATTTATCTCAAAGGCTGCAGATGAACAAAAGTTACATTAGATTTTAGCCCAAATCCAGAGGTCACTCTAAGAATATTTATTGAGTTTTTTTCTCAGATGTTAATCTTTTTATGCTTATTGACATATACCTTTAAATTTTAAAGATAGCACAATATTCAAATATTTTTTCATGCATAATATAAATGTAGTAGAAATGTTATGCAGAATTTCTCCACAGGAATGACAACAATCTGGAAAATGAGCACAATTGTCTCTTATGCTGTAGCACTGGCTGAAAAATAAAATGAAAGGAAGACAGATTTTGAAAATAATGACTAAGGGAAGAGTTCATAAAAGAATGTTATTTTTTCTTACCTAAATTTACAAACAGAAAAGATGGCCTCTTCTGGAGATACTGTTAATAGACTTGAGGGATTGCTGAGATTTGCATGTCAGAAATCCAGAATGATGAGATCAGAATGATACATTTTGTTCTTAGACAGTAAAGCCATGATTGGCAAGACTAGAACATACACCCAGCACTGAACCTGTGTAGATGGATTCCTTGAGGAATCTAAAGACAGAATCATTTTTAAGGCTTATAGATCAAATGAAAGTACAACGACAACGAGATTCAATTAGAAGATCAGTTAGTGATGCAAAGCCCACAGGCAATGAGAAAAAATAGTGAATACAGGAAGAGTTTGGGGTCTTATAACTAGACATAGTATTTTCTTCACAGTGATAATTGAAGAAGAGCTGAAAAGTGTGCTATAAAGGAATGGCAATGCATGAAAATGATCAAGAAATAATCCACAGCCCCTGTAGCAACTAAGGCAGAAAATCTGCATTAGAAAAAGGTAAAAAACAAAATGCATAGGGAACCACCTACGTTTTGATAAGAAGGATATTTCTAGAAACATTGCCATAAAGCAATGGCCAATGAGAAGAATGGTAGAAATCAAGATGATAAAATAATGAAACAGTATCAGGAAAGGATTTGGTTTTGCTTTAGTTCTCCTTTCTGGAAGCGATGAACAATTCCTAAAGTCAGTGATGACAACAATATTTAAACATACTCTATTAATATATGCTTAAATTAATGGTTCAGTAAATCCAAATATAGGTCACTTACTGTTATGGTCTTTCTCAAATAATGTGTTTTCAAAGGCACACAAATATAGAGAAGCCTCCATTAAATTTTCTTTCTTAAACACATACCTACAGGAAAGGGCAGAGCCAACTAATCATGTGCTTAGATAGGAAGGCCACCAATTCTACAGAATTCTCTTTATGTAACTGTTACCTCATTGGAGACAGTTGCTGTTTGTACTCTAAATTCTCTTTGATATTCAAAAATATATTTGAAACTTATTTTCATAATTTTATATGGTAGAATAAAAGAAACTTCATTTAAATACATTTCCACTTTATATTTACTACAGATTAAAAGTTACTTCTAAGTATATGAAACTACATGTGATTCCAGAGAAATACAATCTACACATTACCTGAGATATAAACCAGGAATCTTAAAATGTAAAATGTCTTTTATACTGAGTAAAGAAACATTTCCTTGCAAGGCAGAACCATCTATTGAAAACAAGACCAATATTCTTTTTACTTGAGTTGAAAATTGAACACGTAAACAGGTAGTGAATACTATTATCAATAACAAAAAGGCTAGTCATCTTTTTAAATTAGAAATTAATTTACTATGAGTAACTTACTGAAGGAGTAAAACAGAATGGTGCTTTAATGGTTGTATATGTTATTACAGAAAACTGATGTGGTGACGAATAAATCTTAAAATTTCTTACTGTAGCTGAAATTTGAATAAAGTTTAAGAAGTGGAATGATAAGATCCACTTATCTAGAGGTCAAATTTTCTATATCCTCAATTATGTTGGAACCTGACATTGATACAGAAAAAATATTTTAAGACTACCATCCTAGAATCTAAGAATATCACTACATGTGTTACATGTTAAGATAAATTCAGTCTAGATATAACTTAGAATCACTAATAAAGAATGTTAATTTACTAATGAGCCAAAAATATGATGAAAGGTATACTGCTAAAGAATTTAAACTGACAACAAAAATAATCAGTTTTAAAAGATTTAAGTAACTGTCAATAGCATGGTATTCTATATTGGTACAACATGCTTTTATTAAGCTGAATTACTAAAAAAACTAGTGTAGGTTTACTGTTTAGAATGATGGGGAAATATGTTTCATTTTAGAAAAATTCTGGCAAAAAAAATAACTAAAAGAAAGAAATGTTTAAAAAAGTTAACCTAAGATCAGAAAGAACAAGAATTCAATAACTCTTAGGCTGACAGTATCAAGCTAGGATTCTCACCTATTTATAATTTCTTTCATGTCCCATATTATAGTGTGTATAATTCATTTTTACTACCTCAAGAGATTTACCCATCTATATAGTACAAATCTGCGAACTTTGTTTTAACTAATCTTTCATAGGAGAAGTACTTTAAAAAAATCAAAGTATCAAAGCCTATAACTTTTACTTACATATGAAAATACTAAGTATTCTGGATTCTCCAAGATTAAATTACATTCAACATAATTTTTGGTAATTGTATTGTGTATTATACATTTCTGGGAACTGTATATTCATAGCTAGCATACATACATAGTAGTCATGTAATAGAAGGAACATTTTATTTTAGTAAGATGTAAAGACCTTTCTACCAATCATTATGGCAAACAGATTTACCATGTTACAAGAATGGAGTAGCTTCAGAATGTCCAAGCACATACTTCTTTTAGAAATGATTAGAAAACCATGGGTCCCTGTATTTATTGAACTGAATCACCTGGCAGTAAAATTCAGTTAAGGCTCTTGGCATTGGTGAAACTTCTTCCCACTCTGACCTGCTGCTGTGGTAGACTTGTACTTCATCTGTGATTTCATCTGGTGCATAATCACCACCTAATATATAAATCTTATCTTCAATTCCAATTGCACCTGCATTAAAACCTGCACATTCAAAAGACCCTTCACCCTTCCAAACACAAGTATCTGGACAAAAACTATAAACCTTATAGGTGGAAAGGTCACATATATACAGTGTGCAATTTACAGGGACAGCTTTAATTAGTGTAGCATGAAAAAATTGCCCAAACTCTGCTACTAGTTCAGACCACTGATCAGTTGTAGCATTATATTTAAAAAAGCAATCAAGTGATGGGTTAAAGGCATCTGTAATTTCTACCTCTGATCCAAGAACATAAATTACATTTTGGCATGCACTTGCTTCTGGATAATATATGCCTCTAGGTAATGGGCTAACAGATATCCATTCTTTAGAAAGAGGATCATATGACTCAACATCTAGGAGACTTTTAATGTCCTGAGATCCCCTAGTCTTTCCACCTATGACAAATAATCTGTTGAGAGCCATAACTGATGTATGCATGGTTCTTGGTGTCTTCATATTTGATACCAAAAAGAAATCATTTTTGACTGGGCAGTAGCACCAGGTTTGATCGGTAGCATCATGGTAAGACTCAGCAATATGAAGTCGAACCTTTCTACAACACTTCCCTTTGCAACCACCAGTCAAGAATATTTTCTCTCCATAGCTAGACAGACTAGACCCTGGCAAATCAATCAGGTGTGATTGTGGTAATATTTTCCATGAGTCAGTTTTAATATTATAGCAAAATGTATATTGATTTTCTCCATTTTCCTCAGTTTTATGAATGAATATATATTTTTCAGTTGTGGATGGTCGAGCATCAGGGAAAAGTCCACTAGAACCTTGTACACATTTAATTGCATCCACGATTATGTCAAAACAGTTTGTGCTTTTGAGTAAACACTCTTCATTGAGAAGACAGTCTTGAAGTGTGTCCTCGGATAACTGATGTAATCTTACTTTCTTAATCAAATGAGGCAGATGCTTTTGCCTTGATTCTAAGTTATGTTTTGTCCAATTAAGGACGACCTTCAGTACTGTTTCTTCTTCAGGAACATTTAATTCATCTGATTCCAGACATTTTTGCAGTATTCCAAAATTCATCTCTAAGAAATCACTGGATTTAAATAACAGAGAAAAGTGATGTTGTACAAAGTATAATGCATGATCAAACAAACGGGTTGAACCATAGCTATCTGATATAGATAATAAATGTAAACAATTGACGAGATTAATGCTTTTTATTAAAAAGTCACTGCAAGCTTTGGATAGGAAGGAAACTTGAAGAAATGATGACAACTGGAAGAACATTTCCACATTATCATCTGTAATTTTTGTCTTTCCAGTATAGGCATAATCAAGAAATGCTTTTACTGCTTTGGAGGACAAATTAGTAATGGTAACACTTCCATCATCTCTTTCTTTCATGTTTACTTCAAACATAGCCCTGCAAAAATAAAGAACACAAAAGAACAAGTAAACAGGAATATTTTGCTCTGTAATTTTCAATATACCCGAAGGAGGTTTCCTTTATACTTACGGTGATTTAAAATACATTTATGAAATCATACTTGATAGCATTCTAATGAATGCTAAAACTAAGAATACAACTTAGGAAAAAGGAGAATGATAAAGCTACTTCCTACATCAATACTTCTTAATATGAAACTACTAGCTACTCAATACTTCTTAATATGAAACCAAATGAAAATAGTGATAAAAGTTAGTATATCCATATTACATATTATGTAGGAGCTTTAAATAATGTATATCAATTGAGAGATATTAATCTATAATGATAATTATATTAATTATTAAAATCTCTATAGTTACTTTAGGGTAAAATTAAGAGCATGGCCTCTAGAGCGAGCTACCTGAGTAGGTTTTCTAGTCTCTGCCACTTATTAGTTGTATGACCCTGGGGAGGTGACAACTTTCCTCTGCTTCAAATTCTTCATATGAAGATGGGGATACTGATACTATCTACTTCATTGGGTTTTTGAGAGGAATAAGTTATTCAATACAAAGTATTAGCTATTTTAGTGTTATCATTTAAAGAAAGCAAATGCTTTTTCTATAAGATTGAATGTGTTTTTGATTTACTATCAGTTTCCACATTTCTTTTCATAAGACAAAAGTAAGATCATATTTCTATACTTTATTTACTCATATTTAAAGTATCTGGACAACATTTATCTTATATTTATCCTGTTTTCATAAAGTGGTTACTATAAAATGTGTGATTTCTTTTCAATTTCTTATTCCAAATGACTTTACATGTTAATCATAATTTCCATTATCCAAAAACATTATAAAGGGTATTTATCATGCATTATGCACATTTTTTTTGACATTTTAATATTATATTTTCCTTCCAACATTGCAGTGAGTACATTTAATCATAAAATACACATTATGAATTGGTAGCTTTTTTGTACAAGAGTGTAAATGATCAAATTTCTATCTATATTTTTAATGAGAACTATATTAAATATTCATTTAATAAAAGGATCTGTCATTTGTGTTATTTAAAACAGGCAGAAAATTAGAAACCTATATTAGTCTAATAGTAATTTTAAAAATGAAAAGCAGTCCTATAAAAAATAAGGTGTAAGCTAAAAAAAAGTACTATGGACATAAACATTTAATTAAAAAATAGACTTGTCCATGAAGGCTCCACAGGACAGTATTACTTTGAGACAACTATCAGATAAGAGGGCAATGTGTCTGATCCTTAACCTTGTAGAATCAGCAGCCCACTGTCATCACAGAATTCTTGTAATGTCATGGCTAGGAGAATCCCTGTAGGGTGACCTCACGGGAAACCAAATTATATTATATTTATAATCATATAAATTATATAATATAATATATATTATATAATAATTATATAATAATATAAAATTATATAATAATATAAATTTATAAATTTATATTATATTTATAATCAGAACAATTTATGTACTACAGAGAAATGCTTTGCTAAGAATTACTTTTCCCTACTACAGTAATATCTTTACCAAAGAGGGGAGAAATTTTCTGAGTTAGAGCCCCTTCCCAATCAAATACACAACCAGTTTATTTTCCTAACTCATATTCTTTGAATTGTTTTCATGTTTGTTCAACTTATCACTTCATCTTTTTATAAAATAATATAGTGCAGGAATCTCCTAAACAAAACTGACTTTATATGAAAAAAAAATTTACTTCCCAGAACATTTCAAGAGACTAAGATTCCCTAGAACTTTGGGAAATATAGTCTTGGGAAGGCCCAAGTTTTGAAAAAGTAGTTTTAAGTTCTCCTGTTCAAAAATCACTTGTTAATCTTAGTTTTATCTAGTTTTTCTTTAAGAACTAAAAATTATTTTGCATATTCCTGTGCAAATAACTGAGGGGGGAAAACTGAGCTAATCATATCATAAACTTAATTATCCATATCATAAAATTTGAGACATAGACAAGGTAAAGTACCTGAAAAAGTCACTACACGCTGCTAACACACAACGATGACATGGGATTATCTCATCTTTCATAATTATTTTGAAATCATAAAAGACATTTTGCTCTCTAAAATTCTGCAGTATACTTAAGATTTTCTGTCCATGATCTTCAGACACAAGGAAGTTGTTTTTCTTCTCAGATGGAATTCCATTACATGAGCTTCGTATGTTGAAATCATATGAATTATCCATAGTGAATTCCATCTATATTTGGAACTAGAATGAAAAAAAAAATCACCAATTAAGTAGAGATCTAATGAAAATTTCAGACCTCAAAATCTATCTTCTTAATGTCAATTTTACAAACATGCTAACAACAATCACACGATAGTAAATCTTGTTCTAAATATTTGCTTTAATAACATTTAATAATAAATTCCTGTTGAATTTTCATAAATGTTGAGCTCACTGGAATTAAACAATATATTATGAGGCATAACATTCATGCTATACAATTGTGTTAAATACCAAACTTACACCTTGTAAAAATACATAGCTTATCTAGGATCTCACTTCATGACTAACCTTATTGTTACAATAAGTAGCATTATTTCTGTAGTAATAATAATTTGAGTATGTACCTAGCACATCCCTCTTCCCTCCCATCCATTTTCTTCTGGTTGCAAAGTAGGCATTAAAATGTTAACATTGGAGCATTCAAGGTTATTTTTACAAGATAATTAGTTTAAAAGATCAGAGTGGTTGATTGCACTAAACTAGTTATGACCTTTACTGAGGAAGACAAAGGCAAATATTGATCCAAGTTTACTTATTTGAAAGAAGGAAGGAAAAGAACATGTAACTTTATTTTAAAAAGACTTTCTAAACATGAGGTCAGCTATCCAAGAGATTTGAAGGCCAGAAAATCATGAATTCCCCAAACTGCTATTTCAGCTCCCAGCATAAAATTTTTACCACCAAAAGCAAGGAATTGCAAAACAGAAATGTTGTTTTGTTTTAGATAGAAGAAACTTGATCATGTTAACACACTGAGGACAAAGGTTAGGTATAGAGGGAAATTTTGACAATCACAACCATCTAAATTCAGCATCTATATTCATGTAATGAAGCAGAATTTTTGGACCTTTAAACCCAAAAGCTGGAGAAAATACTACATGTAAAACTTCCATTTCTGTTAACAATAAACATTGATAGGCAACTGTATAGTTAGAGACTATGAACTTTCATAGTTTATAGTGACATAACAAGACTGACAGTACCAGGATTTATAGTAAGTAATTTATATAATTATTATATTCAATGCTCATAATAATCTCCTTAGGTTGGTATTGGTAATGCCTTTTTCGAACAGATTGAGGCTCAGATTAAATAATATGCCTAAGAACACAAAATTCATAGAAACATCTTTGTTTCACTCAAAGCCCATACTCTTCATGACCCTCAATTTCAACATCAAGTGGAAACATCATCCCGTCATAATGAACTGGTTAAAATTTACATCAGTTTAAGATCAGTCTTGATAACGAGGACATATATGATAACAACACATAACATCTGCTGAGCCAGTAAGTTGTGCCAGGCACTGGCCCACGGGTTTTACATGGTATTTAATTCTTATAATTATATTCCCTATAAAAAAGAAACTTCTGCTCCCCCTGTTTTTCCTGCTAAGTACAACAACCTCCCCTGAACACACACATACACACTCAGAATTCCAAACATATGAAGACTATGAAAAAAGTGGAGAGAAGAAAACAGAGTGCCTAGTGAACTTGGGACCTAAGGAGCAAGATGGTGATGAGTTCCTTGTGTGTTTTTTTTTTCCTAATATAATCTGGATACTGAAGAAGAATCTTGGCGTGCACGCACGCGCATGCACACACACACACACACACACTCACTCACACACACACACACACACAGCAAGAGCCTCAAGAAAAACTTGTTATGTTTAGTCTCGGGACTAAGAAAGGAGCAACTTGGCAAACCAAAAAGGTTTTAGACAATGACCCTAGCTGAATATAATAGAAGAATTGTGGTTCTTCACCTACCCACATTTATAAAAGAGCAATGAGAAGCCTAGAATTCTGCACATGCTAGGTTGCAATCAGAGACTCAACCTTTCTTCTCCTGTTTCCCTACTAGAATGATATCAGAGAAGGCTGAACAACAACAAAAAATGTATGCAACGAGATAATACTTATGGTCATTATAACTAAATTAAAATAGAATTCTAAAAAGTCTCAACCCACAGAAAGACGTAGAAAATGAAATACAGGAATGAAAATTAGGGAGAATAAACAAAAGATAAATAGACTAAGTACTAACAAAATCATTGTACTAAATAAAAATGGTTTATACATGCCAATTAAAACACAGAGATTACCAGAGTAGATAGAGTTACCTTCCTATAACTTCCATTGCTGAGGGCCATTACCAAGTAGGATTGACGCATCGAAATTTCCTTGCCAAGCCTACCCCATGCTGCTTAGAGGACATTCGATGGGACATTGCATGCATGCTTTAATAAGGTGACCTTGCTCAAGGACCAAGGTGGATCCGGGTTTAGAGCTGATCAGGTTTGAGGAAGTAACCGGCTCCTTGAGTTTAAGGCGTTGCCAGTTTAAGATAATGGGTTTTAGGGAAGTTAGAGGTTGAAGATTATTGCTGGGATTAGGGTGTTCCTGCTGCTTGTTCCTGTTGAGTTCTCGTGAGATTAAAATGGGATTTGGAGATAGCCTCGTGGAGTAGGTGAATTGTGCGGGCAGACGGGAGAACGGAATTGCCCCTGGAACGGAATTGCCCCTGGACCTGTGTGGAGGCGGTGTGAGAGCGGGAATAAAGAATTTCTATTTGAACCTACAAAGCTGTGTGGTGGCTCGTGATTCTGGTGCCAAGCCGAGACCTTGGCATTCCATAACTATAATTTCCTACAAATAACTCACTTCAAGTATGATGGTATAAGTAGATAAAAATAAGAGGAGAGAAAAAATATGCTATACAAGCCTTAATTAAATGAAAGTAGGTATGGAAATACTAATACAAGATAAAGTAAACTTTGGAAATAAAAATTTCCAGGGATAGAGAGAAATATTACATAACGTCAATCCACCGCGAAGACTAGCAATCCTAAATGTATATGCATAAACAAAAGAGTTCTGGAATATATGAAGTGGAAACTGATGCAAGAGGAAAGTAAAATAACAAGTCCACTGTTATAGATGGAGATCTAAATACTCACCTCTCTAAAACTACTCAAAAAATCATCAAGGATATATAAAAGAATTCAACACCACCATCAATCAACAGAATCTAATCAACCTCTACAGAAGACTTTAAGTATTCTTTTTAAGTGCCCATGGAACATATGCCTACATTGACCATACCCTGCTCCACAATGCAAACCTCAAATGATTTAAAAAGAGTTGAAATTATACATATTATGCTATATGACCACAATGAAATCAAGCTAAAAATTAATTTTACAAAAGATGTGAAAATATATAAGGACTTAGAATATAAATAACACACTTCTAAATAATTCATAGATCAGGGTTATGGTTTGGATCTGGAATGTCCCTCAAAGGCTCACGTGTTGAAGGCTAGTTCCCCAACATTCAGAGGTGGAACTTTTGGGACATGATTGTATCATAAGGGTGCTAATCTCATCAGTGCATTAGTTCCACTGATGAATTCACAGGTAATAGTCCACAGAAGGCAGAAGTAGATCACTGGGGATGTACCTGTGAAAGATATATCCTACCCCTGGCACCTTCTCTTCTCTGTCTCTGCTTCCTGGCTGCCATGAAGGTCAGCAGGCTTTGGTTTGCCATACCGTCCCTGTATGATGCTTTGCTTCACCTTAGGCCTAATGGATGGAGCCACAACTGACCTTGAACTGAACCAGCATTGCTGCTGTTCTCTAGACAAAGACAATACCCAAACACACACACACACACACACACACACACACACATACACACACACTTCATAATCACAGACCCATATCCCTCACAAATCCAGATGCAAAAATTCTTAACAAAATATTAGTAAAAAGAATTCAGCAAACTATAAAAGGAATTACATAATAACTAAGCAAGTTTATTCAGGGATGTAAGACTGATTAAATATCTGAATATCAATCAATGTAATCCATCATATTAACAAGCTACATAAGGAAAAATTACATAATCATATCAATTCATACAAAAACATTTGACATAATCCAAAACCCATTACTTAGAAAAACTCAGGAGAAAGTTCCCCCCTCAACTTGCTAGAGAATATCTACTGAAAACAATAGTTATAGCTAACATTATACTAAATAGTATTATTAATATAGAGACCAAATCTCTTCCTTATGAGGAAAAAAGCAAGGATGTCTACTCTTACCACTGCAATTCATCATAGCACTAGAAGCTCTAAGCCAGCACACTAAAGCAAGGAAATTCAATAAAAGGCATATATATTGGCAAAAAACCACAAAATTGTCTCTATTTGCATATACCAAGATAGTGTACACAAAAAAAATCCCAAGGAATCTAACCTCCCTAAAAAACAAATAAAACTAATAAGTGAGCTCAGCAACAACACAAAATACAAGATCAACACACAGAAATCATTTATATTTCTATAAATTAGTAACAAGTATATGAATACCAAAATTAAAAATACAATAGCTGAAAAAAGAAGGGAAATAAATACCCAAATATAAATATAATAAAACACATACATATTTGCTGAAAACTCTAAAATACAAACAAAAGAAATCAAAGAGGAAAAACATGTCATATCTGTGAATTGAAAAAGTCAATATACTCACAAAATTAATCACTACCCCCAAAAAACCCTGATATAGAGGTTTAACCAAACCTTATATCAAAATCTAAGCAAGATATGTTTTGTAGATACTATTGAGATTATTATAAAAGTTATATGAAACGATAAAAAAACTAGACTAATACAATTTTGAAAAAGTAATAATATGACAATGATCATTCTAATTTCAAGACATTATAGATGCAGTAATCAAGACCTTGTGACATTGGTGAAAGGACAGACACACAGATCAGTGAACAAAATATAGACTAGAGGAACAGCCTCACAGAAGTATAGCCTTTTTTTTGGGGGGGGGGGGACAGGGTATGGCTTTGTTGCCTAGACTGGCCTCCAATTTCTCATCCTCCTGCTTCAGCTTCCCAAAGTAGCAGGGATTACAGGCATGTGCCTGCCGCCATGCCCTGGCCCCCAGCCAG